TCTTCGGCGCGCTCCGGGGCCACCTAGGGCGCTCGATCTCGTGGCTTCTTGGAGCTTTCTGGATGCGGCGCAGTTCTTGGAATTAATTTACTTCCCGATGTTCCTGCCTTAATCGAATCAGCCACGCGCTTGAGTCGCGGGCAAATCCCGACAGGCGTTCCAGTTAGTGCGCCAATCTGGACCTGTGCGCTGGCTTCTATGACGGTCCATGGCGAGGGCCGTGAAACCCGTCGATCCGAGTTCTTGGTTTTGTCCGGTGGAGTGTGGTGTGGTGTACTGGTGCGGCCTGAGATTCTAAATTTTAGGGTTTTCTTGGCCGGGGTTGGGATTCTCGAATGCGGCGGCGCAAGTCCGATTAATCGAGTGCTGCCAAGTGAGCAATCTGTCGCGAAATGGTTTGGGAATTGGGATGGCACTCTAGCAGTGTGCAGTTGCAGTGGTTAGGAGGGGCGTACTGACTCTCAATCCAGTTTATTCTGCAAAGGAAGTATCAGGATATTGGTGAACTACTTAGCTAGCGGTCTAGTTAAAAAAACTTAAAACATGTAGTACATTGCTTTGCATTCTTCCAATTTAAACCAAGCTATGAAGCATTCCACCAAATGTTCCTCTTGACTATCATCGTCCATCTGTTCACTCGAAATCAGTTTGTAAAGTGCATTCTTTGATTACTGTCTCTTTTTCTCTCTGCTAATGGTGAATAAACTTTTGAAGGTTGTGATGCTTGGTTTGGATTCAGCTGGCAAAACAACAATCTTGTATAGGCTGCACCTGGGGGAGGTTCTTCAAACTGTGCCTACAGTAGGTAGGACACTAATATAGCATACTTTAATTTCTGTTTTTATGTGTCCACTTGTCCAGTCTTCATTGTTGTGCTACTTTATTGTGCTATGCCATCAAGATGCAGTTCTTTCATTTTACTTCATACAAGGAAAATAAATCGTGTAGTAGTGATGAAGCTGAGTTTCCTAGTTATAGGTGTGGCTAACATTTTCTTCTTCCAGTTTATGTTACTTGGAACAACGTAACATTATTGAATTTTAGAAGCAGAAAAAATAATCGGGAGCTTATCACCTTAGATTGTGACAATAAACTGCACCATTTTGACAGTTTGGACCTAAGTGCTGCTCTCATATCTTCCATTCATTGGTCTTATGTCTATCTCTGGTATACCATTTCTCCTCTCCAGGTTTTAATGTCGAGAAGGTTCAGTACAAGAATGTGGCATTTACTGTGTGGGATGTTGGTGGACAAGAAAAGCTCAGACAATTATGGAGGATGTACCTCAGCAATTCTGATGCACTGGTAATAATTAGGGATTAAAATATAGCATGTCATCTTGCCATTTTAGCCCTACTTTAGTACATATGTATTTTGTCAATTCTTGCCTTAGTTGTCTTCCACGTGTTGTTCTCAATATGGTTATTATAAGTACAGCCTTTAAAAAAACAGTTGTGGCATCTCTTGAAAAATCTGCAAGCTGTTGGTTGTTTTCCTTGTTTATTAGCTGTGGTGGGTGAAATGAGTAGATTGATGTGCAGAACATACACGGAGAGCACTTTAGTCTTCTTGTGAAGGATAGCTCTTTAGCTGATTCAATCAGGAGTTCCTTGATAGTTTGAACTTTTCCTTGGATCAGATGCATAGTTTTGCTGCCAATGTTAATGATGTGTTTCTTCTTTTGATTTGGTGTAGATCTATGTTGTGGATTCTTTGGACAGAGAAAGGATCGAAGATGCCAGACAAGAATTCCAGGTCACATATTTTGTACTATCTCTGTCACTATAGACTCCCGGCCGCCTTAAATTATGTTGGCTGAGTGAGATCCTGCTAACTTGTAATCCTTGGCCACTTTCAGACCATTATCAGGGACCCTTTGATGGCAAACAGCATAATCTTGGTATTAGCAAACAAACAGGACTTGGTAAGTTAAATTGAACGCTCCTGCGTAATTGCCTAGCTGTTCATGACCTCATTTGATTGGGTTGCCATGCATGTTTTTTCTTCTGAAATTGCCTTCCGACTGGAAGTATGGAAACAAAAAAAAAATCCACCAGCATGTCTTGTTTGGTACTCCCTCTGTAAAGAAATATAAGAGTGTTTTAGATCACTACTTTAGTGATCTAAACACTACTATATTTCTTTACGGAGGGAGTACCAAATTTAGTGCTGATTGCCTACAGAATATAATACGACCTTTCATCTTGTATTTGTTAGAGAACAAGTGTGGATGCTTACTTTCGGCGCACAGATTGGGGGTAGAGATCGCCTAGACTGACTATGTTTCCCTTGTTCACAATTCATATAGAAAGGTTCAATGAGCCCGGAGGAGGTCATTGAAGGGCTGGGCCTGCATGATCTCAAGAACAGGATATGGCACATACAGGGGACGTGTGCGCTCCGCGGCGAGGGCCTCTACGACGGGCTCGACTGGCTCGCGTCCACCCTGAAGCAGCTGCAGGAGACAGGCCATGCTACTTCAATTGCTGGACCTTCTATCTAGCTTCACAGACAGAGAAAAAGGTCCTGCACGATTCCGAGCCCGCCTTGACTCGTTTAATTCCTACCTTCATATATAACAGTAACAACATGCCTAAACTATTACTGTTGGGCCAAGTCTGAAACTGATCTCTGTTTGCGCAGTGACCTTGCCTCGGCCGCCCGACGATCCTCGCCTGACGCAACAGCCATCCATCTATCCGTTGATCTGTTCATCTCACAAGAGCATGCCCCCATGGTGCGCCTGTTCTACCTGTGTGTGGCGGCCGCCCGTATGGGGCTCGTCTGGCAGGAACTTATGCAGTGTATAACAGATGGGTGAACGATAAACAGCACCTGGCATGGGATTGTTGTATCTTGTATTTGTGTATACCTGAGAGGGGCCGCTTGGGGCACACGATTGCTTTGCTCGATTGCATACTGATGAAAGGAAGAGGAAACGGTTTGGCTAGTGTGCTGAATGCTTTGTCTGCAGCTCGCAGCTTCAGTGATTGCATTTGTAAGCTTGGTCGTTCCTAAATATAAGTCATCGTAATGAATGAATGTACGCTATAGAATATGTTTATGTACATCCGTATGTATTCTATATTAAAATATCTAAAAAGTCTTATATTTAGGAACGGAGGGAATATATAGGAAAACGAGTATTGGCATAAAATCACCAACTTGATTATTCTAGAAACAGGAAAACGAGTATTGCATTTATCAGGAGCCTGAAACATTATTCCAGAAGAGAGCAAAATTGTGAAAAAAAAAATAGAAATGGAAAAAAGGTTGATTGAGTTATTAACCACGAGCTGAAATTATGCCATCAGTGAGGGGGAAAGATAAAGAGCAGAAAAAAGGAAAAAAATGTGAACAACAAAAGAATACGACGCCTGAGAGATTCGAACTCTCGCGGGCAGAGCCCATGTACTTAGCAGGCACACGCCTTAACCACTCGGCCAAAGCGTCGGTTGTTGAGTCCTCTGCTTCGGTGGCCTTCTTATCCTGGTTTTGGTCAGTGATTCTCTCAAACTCGCAAGGTCGGATCGGATGGTAATCTCCATTTCTTCCCTCGTGTTCGTTGGTTTCCCTTACCACATTGTTCTGCACATAGTTTCTCTTTTCAACACAGAAGAAGCCAAATGGCTTCCACCTCGATTCTGAGAGATAGAGACACGGTCGGGGTCCGAAACAGCTTCCACCCAGATTCAATCTCGCCGACCGTCGTCAGGGACGAACCCCTTGAGACGACAAGACCTCCATAGCGGCATCACCTGCATGCCATGGCCTCCAGACAAAAGTCGAAAGTGCCTCTCATATGGCATTGTGGGTCTATATCTTCTACTCGAAGCACAGTACACACATTCACCCCTATGAATAGATCAGTAGACTCATGCACACCCTCTCTTTATGAACACATTCAAAAGGATGGATTGGCCGGCGGATCGGGTCTTAAGATTAACAAAGTCACCATAGACACCTCACCGTCGATAGGAACGTCGCCTCCAACCGAAATCAATCACCCTCCTTTTTTATGGGAACCAGGGCTGCGCCTACCAGGAACAGCATGCCAGGCTAAGATGCACTGGATTTGTATGACAAATTGCAAGAAATTTCACAACATACGTCGTACGTTCTTGGGAACCCTTTCCCTTCCACCAAGCATTTGTACACCAAGTAGCAGCAGAAGTAGCAGACAGTCTCCCGGCACGGCAACAAAACAATGAAATCACGGAGAGAACAAACGGCCGAAGAGGCATGTGCACAGACAGACAGGCTGGAGCCACGATTGCCGATCTAGTGCTCTTGCTGCAGCGGCCCGTTCCGGAGGAGAGGTAGGCCGCGTGCCCCCAGCAGGAGCCGTCGGTCACTGCTCCTTCCAGATGCGGCCAGTCACGCGCAGCTTGAGCTCCTGCCGGGTGCCGCTGGAGAAGAAGAGGGCCATGTTGCGGTGGATGATGAGCCCGTCGAAGCTGTCCCGCACCTTCTTGTGCCCGTCCCGGATGCTCCGCGGCGTGCCCTGCCACGTCAGCTTCCGCCCGTTCCCGCCCACCTCCAGGCTGTAGCAGAAGCTCCGAGCCTCGCTCTCCTCCCCCATGAACCGCAGGAACGCCATGTACACCGGGGACATCCCCAGCAGGAACGCCTCGAAGTGGAGGCAGAAGTGCTGCCCGAAACACTTGAAAACCTGCAAAATGGCAGAGAGCATATCACTACAGTAGACTGAACACAGCCGAAGATCGATCGGAAGGCTACAAAGAAAATGACAGGACTATAATCGCATTTGGAACGCCAAGAGATAGGCACGCCTACTGCATGTCTGTCCGTGTTTAACATGCATAGATGTATCATTACTTACAGTGAGCATCCATGTTGCGTTTTCCACTTCGTAAGGGTTGGACTTCACATAGCGGTGGTTAAAGGTGCAGCCTTCGTGCAAATCCACCTTGTGGTCATTGATGAGATGAGACACGAGCATCGGAACGTCACCTGCAATGAGGCACTCTGAACCTGCATATGGACAGCTGTATGGCCTGAACCTGCAGAGCTCCTCGTGCTTAAGTTTGTTCTGGTAAGGATGGATCTCGGTGCAGCCCAGGCTTTGGTATTTGCATGGAAGCTGAATCGATTCGGCCACCTTCTCGAGAGCCAAGCATCTGATATTTCCCAGCTCCTGGCGGCAAGTGGGGCAATGGTTGTCTACCCTATGCTTACAGCTGGAGCAAATTGTGTGGCCATTTGGGCACTGCAGGAAGAATATGAATCATCAATAGATTATCATAAAATCATAATGGACAAAACTTGTTCTACTAACTACCATAGTTCTCATCCAATTAGCTTGATATTATTTTGAATAATGTAACAAAATAAGGGTGGAACCAATAGCAAAGTTGCAGAAATGAACAATCATGATATGTGCAAGGGTACCAAGAACAGCTTTCGCGCAACGGTAGAAAGGGTGTGTTTGGATCACAGCCAATGCTTACCATGCCAAAAAGTTGGGTGGCCCATGAATTTTGGTAGTCGTTTGGACTGGTGCCAAAAATTTGGCTCGCCTGAGACGCCCCACACCCACCCATGTAATTCTCGCCAACTCGCAGGCGAGGCGATGGCGAGCAAAACGTTTGCCAACATTTTGGCGTCGTAACTTTCCATCTTTTTCTCTGTGGGTCCCTTGACTTTTTCTTATTTTGTGATGCATGCAGCATGTTAGTTCCGATTGTTATGGCCCTTAATTAATTATTAGTGGGCCTCGTCGTGATTAAGGATGCAATGCAATCCAGTTTCAGTAGCAACTTCCGCCTTTCCCTTTGTGATTTTATTTAACGATGATTTATATTTCTTGTTGATTGCATCTTAGCATTTTCCCCAAGTATGTGCATAAATGTTTGGAGGATTACAGTGGTTACAAGACGCAGTTGGTAGCAAAACAAACAAGATGTTTATTTTGCCAAAAATTTGGACGGTTGCAATGGCACAAACCAAACATCAACAAGCTACCAAAATTTTGGTAATGCCCACACTTTTGGCCATACCAATTTTTTGGTGGGGCTAGTTGGGGCTCAAACCAAACACACCCAAAATCTTGTGTGCTTGTTGAGAGTTGAGACCATGCAAATGACAAAGGAAGACAGAAGCATGAGCACCTAACTATGCATCCAAGGCACAAATATACTGATCAAACCAAGCAACTGTTCTCATACATTCCTATTGTATCTTCAACATGTGGAAGTTGAGAATGTGCATCTAGCACAACAGTAAGACCTCTAGGAGGGGGGCTACCATCCAGGGCTCGAACCCTGGTTCTCACCAAAAAAAAATGTTACTCTCACTGTGTTCCCCGTGCATGTCAGGTCGCCCATTGCACTGCCGTAGCCAGTGAAGCCGGTGTTCAGGGTGTTTTATCGACCTAAAAAAATGCTATTGAGATTCTTCCCCCAAGTGTTGAGTTATTTTTTTTCAGCATGTGGAAGTTACTTTGAAGATCAAGAATTCAGCAAACATGCAATACGGTGAACACAAAACCAAAGACATTTGATTTAGTGTGGCCAAATATAAACTTGTTATTAGTTTGAAGGTAGAACCTCGAACATAGCAGCTAAAGAATTTCTGTAAGCTAAAATGGTAGGCAATTCTACATGAAAAATAGATCAGAATAGAACGATCAAGGGTAATTTATTCGGCAAAAGAATAAGTAGACTTTACCAACACAATCAAGGAAAATTTAGGCAAGCCCATTCTGCCATGTCCGTACAGAATGCCCTAGGCAAAGGCAAAATTTAGGCAAGCTAGGTGCTAGGCAGAGGCAAAGTTGGCCACCTAACACCTTGCACTTAATTTTTCCTTGAACACAATAACTTTGAATAGCTTAGGACACGCTACTACCCACATGTTGTATGTTGTCACAAATGCAACATCTCTACAAAATACAATTACACCTTACATCAAAAGGCAATTACAGTGAATTATCCAAAGTCGTGGGACTGGCAGTCTGGCACAACTTTCTACACAAATCCAGCCCAATATCCAAGTCAATTTCATGTAAGAAAATCCAAGTCAAATTAAAAATAACAGAATCTCATTTGCACTAATATCAAAATTATCAATGATTACACTCTGCTGCAGGAATACAAAGATTTAAGACACGCATCAGTACACATACCTGAAGTATAGGCGGGCGCATTGAGTTTGTACACACTGGACACTCGAGCAAATCATTCAAGCCAGTCAATGATGACAAACCAACATTGACAAGTGACGCAGCCCAGGAGGGCTTACTTGTAGAATCTCCATCAAGCCTAATACTACTGAGTGCCTCGGAGAGCCCACGGTCGCCACAATCTGACTCAGGAACTTCAGTCACACTCACAATGCTGCTTCCTGGGGCCATTGTGAAAGCTTCTTTCACATTGATAAACACTAGATAATATCAACACCCCCACCACTCCATCCTTCCTTGTGATCAGCTGCATTATTAAATTCCATGCTTATTAGTTGATATATTTAAACATGTGTAAAATAATTGTAGCGCTGGTATAGGCTGATACTGAATTAATTTCTCAGTTTAGAGGGGCTATATAAACCTGCACGGGTCATCATTTCGAATTCAAGCAGAAAATCAAGAGGTGAGAGACAAAGACTTGTGGCCCCACCCACACATTCGGAGTTAACGTAAAGTGAGAACCAGTTAGGCCACCCTTGGTATGGGTGTAATTTATTACAGAGGTATTAAATTTACAAGTGTATCTTACCGGACACGAGTGTTTTCCGGCTGGAAACAAAACCGGTGAGTGGAGGCGTGGTTTTTTTGCAGGTGTATTTAAAAAAAAGGGTAATCCAAACATGGCCTTAGTAGTTGCCACCTAAAAAGCACGGACACGTGGACGGAAAGACAGGATACGCATACGGGGACACAGGATACGACATTTTTAAAAAAACAGCCATTCGGGGATACGGCAGAGTATATAAATATATAGACAAAAATAGCATGTAATAAAGATTTAATGATAATATTTGGATCAGAGATTTTGTACTGGATATATGTTGACTCATTTCTATTGATAAAAGACTTTGGGGAAGCCCATAGTCCATACGAACCCTCCACTCAGAGCCCATATAAGGTCTAGTTCCTGAAACCCTAGACTAGTCAGCTCCTCTAGCCGTTCTCTTCTCATTTCCCCCAGCCGCCTGAGAGCTGCAGAGAGCAGAAGAAAAGACTGTGCCGCCGCTTATATCTTCTTCCTCACTGCTGGCTGCAATCCCCATCTTCTCCCCGCCTGGTCCTTCTTCCTTGTCGTCGAACGCCTTGCCATCTTCCTCTCTGCTGGATGGATGTTCTTCGTCGGGGGTAGAGCTGGGCTTGGGGAAAACGGTGGCGGCAGCAACCTCGAGCCTAGGCAGCCTAGGCTGCGGCGGCGAGGCTGGCTCCCGAATCCCCACCGAGTCCACACCGTATCTGCCGCATCCTGATTTCTTTCCCCTTTTTTTAATTCGGAAAAGATGGGATACTGCGGGATACGTGTATACCGGAGTACCCGTGCATGTCCCCGTATCCCCCCGTACTAGGACAGCAATTCGGCAGTCTCTGCCATATCCATACTTTGTAGGTTGCCACCACCAGCAGCTGAATCCAACTTGACTTAGAGCTTAAGTTAGAACTGAAGCTACGGATGATTAAACATCTATTCACTTATACAGAAGTTAGAACTGAAGAAAAAAAAATGAATTCTGTCAAATTATCAGTCTTGGTTGGTCTCATTCCAAAACTTAGACCATTTCTAGAACTTCGGCATGCCATTAAGGAGCAGTTATATCATCCACTAACAGAAAGCACCAACGATTCGACATTTTAAAGAACAACTGCTACTACTACACTTTGGCACCTTCCCTGGTCTGGTTTCACGACTACCTTATCTCTCCTTAAAGAACAACATGCGTAAGTAGTAAGAACAAGCAAAAAAAACAAGTTCGCCCCCATCCAAACCACATTCTGCTCCTCGCTGTTCTCCTGTCACAACAATTGACGGCAAGGTAGGGTTTTCCCAAACCGAGCAAGATTTGGAACCTTTCGCCTCAACTGTACGGAAACTTGAATTAGAATCCAGTCGATTTCCCCAATTTACGCTGCAAAATAAACGGCGGCCGCGCATTGGATTGGATCTTGCGCAAGAACCTAATCGAACTGGAAACATGGGCGTTTCGGGCGGTTTTAGATCAGTGCGGCACTACGCAGCAAGGGAAACCGGCGGCTTAACTGAACGGATAGCAAGAACGAAGATTTAGATTTGATTGCTCAAATCCGCAGCGGCGGGAAGATCCCCCGCTGGGAAGCAACCAAAAAGAAGAAGGCTTTAGAGCAATCCCGCGCAACCAAAGCTTAGGGCTCCTCACCAGCGAACGAGGGTATCATCCCAGGTCGGGGGTGGATCTCCTCCGCTCCACGCCAGCCGAAGCCCAGCAGCACCCGCCGAGGGCACGCCGCCCGCCCCTCCGTCCCGCCGCCGCGGGCGATGTCGCGTACGGGCAGGCTGCGCCGAAG